ACAGCTGCTCAAATCGGTAGTTTTCCGTGATTTTTCCAATCAACACCAAGCAAAAAACAGAGCTATACCATTGCAAAGAGGTCACGAACCGCGTGCGATCTTTCCTTCCTCTTCTTTGTCATATCCTCACCTCTTACTAACACTCTCACGTAGTACACTGACACACATGCCGGGAGACCGATCGGGAGCTTAGAGCTTTTTCCCGGCTGGGGCGGCGCCCCGCTGGTGGGAGATACCTGGTTGGGACAAATCCTCACAATCAACGTATGTCAGCACCGGATCTCGCCATCCAGCTGGGGGAAGATCTCCGCCACCTCCAGCGAAAAAACATGCACTACACGTATGGGAATATTGACCTTAGCCGTTTACGCGCCCGGAATCAATAAATGAATTCAAGGAATAACCTAACGAATTCCGCCGCAGAGAGATCCTAGCAAGGAACAGCTGCAATTGCCACGCGTGCTTCTCTGCAGGCTGGCAACAGGCACCGCCGAGCTTCCTACCGCTGGACCGCGCGGCCGCCCAGGTTGACTAATCTCCTTCGGCGAAGCTCCTCCCGCGGTGACGCACGCCACGAGCAGCGCGCATCATCGCCCCACGCCCCGAAGTGGCCGCCGGAGGAAAAGTACGCCCTCTTAGTTTTAGCTTATTTATTGCAGTCCGCTTTAAAAACCATTAGCAAATGTTACTTTAAAAAACATTCAAACTAGTTACAAAATAAAATATACCTAAAATAATGCAGAAAGCTTCACTATAATTGAAGGTTTTCTCCAATTCATCTATTAGGTCTTCACCTTTGTAAGGTCTGTTAGAGTAGACTGAAAGAATGTGTTGCAGAGATAGGAGATCATTGCCACAATCCTCGTTTCTTGCCCACCTTATGAAGAGATCAGCTTACCTCATCTTTTTTTCCTACACCTAACCATTGTCAAGTCTCCTTGGTGGAAGTTCTACGTTATGTTGCAGGACTTGTGACTATCTGTCAGGATAGCGCTCTTGTTCATTGAATGGTTTCCCTCTGCTGGTAGATTTTTAGCAACAATATACGGGTTTTTCAGTTACAATTTCAATATTGTATTTTTCGTACCGTAAGTATATTTTCTATGTATTGGAACGTATCGGGAAATATTTCAAAATTCTAATTTATTTATCGTGAGTAACAGAATCAATAACATACTCTTCAAGTCCAGATTATTTCAATCAAATAGAATCAGAAAATTAATTTTAGTTACTCTCCTGACTCTATTGATTTGTACTTCAGAATTTCTTTGCTGATTTTGTCCTTGTAAGGAGGTCTGCATTGGTGCATCTCTTTCGCCGGTGACTATTTTTCGACTTCAATTTGAGTTTTTTTTTCAAATCCTTAAGAATGGAGTTCCCAGTTGTGTTTGTAGTATTTTTGTCTTTGGGGGAAAAACGTCTTACACACTGTCTGGAACTACAAGAGGTATTTGCAAAGAAAATATGTTTAAGTGTATAATGAGTAAATTTTATAGTTATTGAATTTAATTATTTAATACAATGGAAAATAGCATATCCTAGAATATTTCACTCAAACCTGCCTATATTTTGCATCTGAAAATTAGAACGCCAAAATTTAACCAATCAATTAACTTGTATCTTTTTCATTGTAGAAGCATTCTGAAAAAAAAACAATATATCAAAATTCCTATGCATTTCATTCAATAGTATCTGCTTACAAATTTCGTTTCCAATATGTTGCAATGTCCATAGACTACTTTTTGTAACTATCCCTATTGCTGGCTGATACTTGTATAGTACATAAATCGGACTAATGTGCTTTTATTTGCATGAGAATAACATTGTAGCGATACCATCCGACATGTTACAAATATATCTTTTGTCACGCTTAATGTTGAGCTGTAAAACATAAAGTGATCGAGTTGGTAAGCGGTACAATGTACTTGTAGTACAGTAGCGCAACAACACAGAACGTAATAGAGACATTTGAATAATAATTTGTTTTTGTTAAGAGAGATATTTTGTCCATAGTTATTCTAGTTATATTATTTCTTTCCTAAAATAATGAAAAGCAAACTTATCGAATGTATGTCGTATTGTCTGGCAACACGAGGGAACCGGTGGGCTCCTGTACTTCCCGCAACGCAACTCGCATTTTTCAGCTTTCAATCTATGATTGAAGAGCTTATGTCCAATTGACATATTTCCATTTCATTGCTATTTTTACGTATCAATAGATTATTAAGTTGCTTATACATAATACTTCCAAATATGTTAAAATGGCATTTCTTCTATGTTAAACGATATTCAAAAACCTTTGAATTTAATCTTTAACTATAAAGAATGAATTTGAATACATTTCCACCGTGAAAAATCGTATTTCTTAAAAATACGTCACTTTGAAAATACGTTCTTCAATTCTCTGTGGATGAGCGCTTGCTTGTCTGGCCCTCGCTTTCCTCTTGCTGGGAGAAAGGGAGGCTTCGAGTTGGAAATTTTGGACGCGTCGTTAAAAATAACGAGCGGAGATATGCCGTGCTTCTACCTCCAAGATCCATTCACGACAAGGAATCCTCTCAAATATCTGTGTGTTGACAGACGGTTTTCAATTGTAAAATAAATTGATGTTTTTTACATGTACTGTACATGTTACATGTAATGATAGCTGTATTAGTAAGGTTGATTGTTTTCCTCATTTAATTTTATTTACAAAGTAATGAATGAAACAAATTTTCAGAAGTGTTTGACAGTATACAGGCATGCTACCTAACATGCGATTTTTTGCATAAAAGATGAAACATATAACTTAAGCTCTCCATATTTTGTTACCTTTTCTGGGGTAAGAAATTGATAACCATCAATTTTGCACTTATGAAGTAAATACAAATACTCTCAATAAAGCATAAATAATCTAATGAAGATTTATTAGTAAAGCAGTTATTCGCTAATTTTGAATTATGGTCGAAATTGGAGAATTACGAATGTAAGACGTGCACGAGTATCGTCACACGTGAACAGATTTTAATTTCAAACGCCTTTTTTGTTAAAAAATATGGTTTAAGGATAAAGAATTGTAATTGTAGTTCATGCTGAGCTCTTTTAACACATTTTTACACGATTGCTAAGATATACAGTTTTTACTCATATAATTTTAATAATTAAGATATTTCTTTGCATAAGTTGCAAGGTGAAATAAAATGTTACTAGTTAACATGTATGTTCTTCATTTTTTATCAAAGCCAATTAGGTTTTTCTGGAATAAATAGTGTAGTACTTAATGATTAATTTACGTGTGATTTCACTCAGTCATGATTTCACTCATTTAGAAGATTTTAACACAGGGAGGCTCCTTCAGTTTCAAGTATTGAAATTATTTCTTTTACTTATTACCTTAAACATTAGAATGAAATGTGAAAATCATTCCATAAATTAGAGGATTTTTAATGATATGTTTTCAGTAAATTCCTTCAAAGATTTCCTTCAAAGAATTTAGTTTCTTATCCTATTGCAATAACGTTATTTTCAATTAACAAAGTTATTTTTCCAATTTTTTATCTCTCGTACATTTTTTATGTCAGATTTTCTACGAGTCTTACTTGGACCTATCCAATTTGAACTATGAATCCAAATTAGGAAACCCGTATCCCAATTTTGATCGATTGCATACTTTCATCCTTTTTGCATTCCTCTTTACCAAAACAATGTAAATAAAATAGTATATGTTGTAATTTTGTAAGATTGTATAGATTGTATATTTTTAATAAATATTTTGTTGTAGTGGAATCTTTATTGACAGCACGCAAATGAAAAATAAAAAAAATCGTCCCGAATTACGCCATTTTCCCTATCGCAATATTTTGTTTGATACATTGTAGACGAAGTACACTACGTGAACTTCAGCATTTCATATTAAAATTGTAAACTAAGCAAGAGCAGATATATTCAAATAATGGTTTTGTCTTTCGTGGTCAAAGTCAATTTCAATAATTCATTTGAGATTTGATATCTTTGATGCCATTCGCCGCAACGTAATGTACACATTAATCAAGAACGTTTTACTTACCGTATGTGTCCTCCGGTTTCACTAGAATTATTATTAGTACTTTTTCAAAGGATAAAGGATGGATTGGAGTTAGAGAGAACTACGACAATACAAACAACAAGTAGGAAAAATAAGCAGTTCAATGAACCGGTTGAAAAAGGCGCACTTCATTTTTTGTAGCCACCCGCATCCTCTCTCCTTCGACCTTTCCTGCCCCGCCCAATGACCCCGCTGTGGAATTGACAGTCCGTGGGTGGAATCTTTGCGGTCGCGATTTGAAGCTCCTGCAATCAGTGGCGGTTGGAACAATGCGGGAGCAAAACAAGCGGGCAGCAAATTTCCTCATGATATGAGCAGGTGTTGTTTGCGTGTGACTGCGGAAAGCGGAACGGGTTGCGAATATTGAGGAAAATATGTTTATTGGTCTCAGGCGCTGTTGCTCTCAGGCGATTTCGAGTTTGAGCCAGTGATATAATTCACTATGTAAAACATTTCCTCTTCTCAGCACTGAAACGTGTTCTAAAATCTATTGCTCTATCAGAAAAAAAGCATGTAAACATGTTTTGCATAGTTACATAAGTGTCATCGAGTTTTATGAATTGAGTGTAAAGGTTTCATTCAGAATGATTCCATTTAAAAGCAATTTTATTGGCTTATTCAAAACAAAAAATATTATACAAAGATTGCGTATTTCTGGATCCAACAATTTTTTTTGTCTCACGCCAAGGCAACGTAATCTAAAACGTTGTTTATTCTCTAAAAAATATATATTATAGAAAAATGCGCGTATTTGTGAGGAGCTAAAAAGTCAGGGATCCATTTTCAATTACCCATAGCCCAAAACTCCTCGCTCGTGGCTCTGTCTGAGGCTCTGACCCTTTTGTGTGGCTCAGCAGGGCAATATCCTGGATAGCCGAGATACAGAGCCATAAGATATTCTAGAATATTCCAGTCAAGGCCTTGGTAGTGGTTCTGCTCATACCCGATGTTCGTCCTGATGATTGCTCTCTTTGAACGGTTCCTGCTCCGGTTGCAGCCCCGCCGCGCGGACGTCGTCTCCAGCAGGTCCCGCGACCGCCCCCACGATCGAGCCCGGCCGCAGCCGCCCCATGCGCGGCCGGAGGTCGTTCAAGGCGGCCACCTCCTCCGGCCACACGACGCTCTCGATCCACGGCACGAACTCGGCGACGCGCGCGTACACGCCGGGCAGGCCCGGGCGCGCGCAGCCCTTGCCGAAGGAGGTGACGCCCAGCACGGCGTGCACGCAGCGCGGGCCCGCGGGCAGCGGCGCCTGCAGCGGCCCGCCCGAGTCTCCCGCGCACGCGTCGCGCCCGCCGCCCGCCGCGCCGCCCGCGCACACCATGCCGCCCGCGATGCCGGCCGGCAGCGCCTGCGCAAACGCCGCTCTCAGCACACACTCACCCGCACTCACTCACACGCGAGTGGTTAAACTGCCCACTCACCCGCACGTGGGTACTTGCGACGCGAGTGGTAAAACTGACGTTTTAGTTTGCGAGTAGGAAATGTTGCAACGCGAGGCTGTTAGCCCGGGTGGCGCTATCCTACGAGCAAAATAAAACAACTTCTACCACGTGAGTCACACACTATTTTTTAGTCAACCTTTCTTTCTTTTTATTTTATTTCAAATATACAAATCACTTGAACACACATTAGGATCAACAGTAGTTGACGCGGTCGGACGAAAGTATTTTGTTTTCTTTGTTCCTTCCACGGTTTTATCTGATCATGTGAGCATCAACACGCTTTTTGCGCTAGTGGTAAAAAGTGAACTTTTAGCACGCTACTCATGCCCTGAAAGCACCGCGTTCGCTGGTGGCTGCCCAAAAAGAGTAATTCGTCTTCCCGAGCGAGTCACAGAATGAAGCACATGTTATAGTCAGGTGGCGATGTCACTCCCCCGATGGAGCGTGAGTCCGGTGATGACCAACTCGTCGGCTTGCAAGGGTTTCCCCCTCCAGGTATATCCCCCAGACGGTACTGTCCCAGCGAGATGAGCTCCGTGCTCTCGACTGGTCTCCAGATGTGTGTGAGTGTACCGTTTGTAAGTGTACATTTGAATGTGTAAGGGGAGACGAGGATGAGAAAGGGAATGTTGCGCGATGTCTATGACCCATTTGTAAAGGAGCGGCCCGGTATTTGCTAGCAATTGATCGAAAAAATCATGAAAAACTACCGATCACTGCAGTCGACAACTACAATTACCCTCGAGACAGCAAATTTATTCCACCCAGCTACGTAGCTAGTGTCGAAACTCCATCCCGTGGGGGCCTCGATCCCTAGGAATTCTCGGTCAGAGTCCCTGAGAGGAAAGAGATGTTCCGGAGACAAAAATCTAACTAAAGCGAAGCTCGTCGTTTGCGAGCATATTAATTTACCTGTGAAGCATGTGGTCGTATGAGTTATTCTTATAGCGTTTTCCATTCGTTGGAATGGTGCACACTCAGTAGGCACTTAGGACACACTTCGAATAGTTTTGATTGACTGATAGAGCGTGCCATGCGAAGAAGAGTGTGTTTCATTCCAAGAATGGTCCAGAGTAGAAACACACTTTCAGCGCACTAGTCTGTACTGAAAAAATCGCCAGGGCAACCCAGTACACCAAGGCGCTTTTGTGAATAAGTACTACTTGGATATACGAACCAGAGTTATGAATATTGAAATGTACCATCTGCAATTGGGTGGAGGGGGGTAATAGAGAATTTTGTGATCAAGCATAGGCAACGTAGATGATATATTACTCGTTTACTCGTTCTAAATGTTTGAAAATCAATTTTGTGACTATTGTGCAAAGTTGTAACAATGTGCTTGTGTTTTACCTTGTGCCCCATGTCGGCCTAAACGTACATATTAATTACGATTTGCGAGAACCAAATAACGGTGCATGTCACTAGTGCAGTAGTTGAAAATTTACTGCACTGTAAGTCGAATTCACTGCACACTCCAACACTCGTATTGACTTAGTTCTAAAATCAGTCATTCCTCGCCTTCATATTGCGTAGAGCGGCACTACTGTGAAGTGATGATAATTGCCCTGCACTGGCTAGGTTTTCGGTTGCAACAGAGAAAAAGGCTACAATACTTAGGTATGTCAAACGGAAGCTGAACAATGGAGAAATTATTATCGGCGTGAGCTATCGACATTTTTTATATAGAAGGAAAAATATTGTGTCCGATAACGATTGCAATAGACTGGTGTAAGTATGTTCGGAAAAGTTTATGAGACAACTGCAATCAATTCGCGATGTACGATCTTATGCGGCTGCCCAACGTCTTGAAAATCTAACTAACGAAGGGAATGTAATGATTGTGATTACTTTATATTTATTTCGATAATCGCTTAATGAATCGATTAGAATCGTTTAATTAACGTTAAGTGATTTCTCTGCATGCAGTGTCTCAGCTTAACCAGAATACACTCACGGAACTGTAGCATTCATTGCCGACGGGCTCGAAGACGCGGCGGCACGTGTCTTGAGGCACCAGCGGGAGATCCACCTTCAGCAGCCGATCCGACAGGGGCCCATCTGCAACGCAGATGCGGGCTTCGTTAAATGTCTACACGAAAATTTAGAAATGTTGTGATGTATGTCCCATATAAGAGACATCAGACAAAATTAATTTTCAAATTGACATCATTGTCAGTAATCACTTTCTTATTTTACCAATATTGCATATATCTTCAGTTATTTTACTTTACATATTTGTTGTTTCATATATTGTTCCTTCATAACTATGTAGTTTATTTTCGTAATTTATATTTCCATTTTATTAAATTGTTCACAAATTCTATTTGTTCACTAAAATGCATAAATAATATTTCATAACACACAATTTGTAATTTAGATATTTTGTTTTTACCATGCCCTGCGCGAAACGCGGTTTTGCTGGTTTCTTTTCCGTGTGCCAAACAGCTAATTTTTTCAGTGTGCGAAACATTGCGAAGCGTGTGCAAAACATCTGTAACGATTTGCAATTTTCTTTCGTCTTGACGTCTTTGTTTATTATTTACAAACAATAGTGTTACGACACTGACTGGAATCCATTTACTTTTGTACAAGTAGGGTTTTTCTAGGTATTTGATATTTAATTTATATTCCTTTACTTGACGCATTGCGTTTCGTTCACGGCGTGTTAAAATTCCCGCACTCGCCTCTTTGTCATCCTTTCTACGCTCGGACGACAAATACGACTGGTGCGTGAATCACCTGCTTCATGCACTTGTTACGTAAACTACTATTTTTGCACTGCAAATGGTCGCAATGTGTCATATGTATATGACAAAACCTGAGAATTACTTTTATAATGATGTTAATGTCATAAACACTACACCATTTCCAATTATAATAACTTTAATTTTTTAATCGGGTTTCGAACTCTATGATCTCCCGGTCAGAGACGTTGCAGATACAGCGGTATTGCTATCCCTGGCAAAAACTCAGCTAGTACGATGACAATGCAGGCACCGGTCCGCGTCTTGTCTTACTCTCTTCGAGGCGCCCCCATCCGGTGGCGGTGGCGCGCGCGGGCAGCGGGTCGATGCGCGTGTGCAGGCAGGCGGGCCGCACGGCGCTGCCGAACGCCACCGCGCGCTCCAGCCGCAGCAGCCCCACGTCGAAGTACTTGACGCCGTCGCGGTAGCCAGGGTGCGCCACGCGCTGCGCCACCGCCAGCTCCTGCGCGCGGTCGTCGTCCAGCGGCGTCGACAGGTCCAGGTCGCCCAGCCGCACCCAGCGCGCGGGGCCCCTGCGCCCACACGCACCCCGCCCCCGCGCTGCCTTAGCACTTCAAACACTCTTCGCACTTTACGCCCACTCGTCAAATGTACAGGAAGGGAGACAAATAGGGAACACCTTTTACAAATGGCAAACGATTTTGCCCTAGATATGGTGATTTGTGGCAAATTGCATTGCAACATTGCGCAAGGAACTATTGTCCAACCGAGAACAAAATGTTGTCTTTGTATTCTGAGAAAGCATAGCAGTATTGGAATTTTTTTTTTTTGAGAGCAGAAATCGTTAATTACGGAATAGGTCACAAATATGGAATACGTAGGCATCACTCGTCATAATTGGGGGAAAAAATTAAACACAATACGGAATAAAATGATTTATTAACCCGTTATCATTACGCAGAACCAACTTAAAGAAACATGACGCATGAAACTAGTAAATAGCAGTAATGGTGGGCTTTAAATTACAGACAATGATTAGATTCTAGAACGCTGACTACGTTTTACAAAAATTGCAGATCTAACTTCCTCTAGATTAACCAGCGCATCTGTGAGCCCACTGGACCCACTCTTCTTCTGTGCTGTCTGCAATAGTATGGAAACGCTGGATATTATTTCATATTTGTCAACCTGATGGCATTCCATATTTCGCACCTATTGTACATATAATTTTGGAGATTTTGGCCCGTAAGGGAACATGTCTTTAAAAAGACAAAAGTAAACCTCAAAACGTTATGTGTGCCAATAATCAAGAATGGATGACTTACCGGAGTTTTCACTTTCCAAAATGCTCTTACTCCAAACGTGATAACGGCAAAAACAGCACGAACACCACAGAGGTCACACTTAAATCGCCTTAATCGCCTTAAATCGAAATGGTTTACTTTTGCTGTCACTAGGCTGCATCATTTATCACAGGCTAAACCGGCCTTTCCGATATTTTTCATCCTATTCCATTTTTGTCTCCCTTCCTCTAAGTGGGACTCAATAACCTTACTTTTATTATAAACAGTTTAAATGTATGTAAGAGGTTACGTCTGACAAGTGACTGATGCTAGACACAGACTATAATTTTACAAGGATGTAGACAAGGTACGTAGCCTTTCGTGATTTGTTGGTTAGTGTGCTCGCTTTCCATGGCGCAACCCCGGGTTCGATTACCGACCGGGGCAAAATTATAACTGTGGGCTTTCCATATAAATGACCCAGTAACCATTGCAATGTGACGATGCGGAAGCCCATCCTAAGGTTATGAAGACCAGTATACACAGTGGAGGGATGTCTGCGTGCTAACCACACGAACCCCTTATCCCATGGCCGAGAGGCTGGGCTACCGCTGCTCGGCCACGGCCCGTATAGGGGTGTCAAACCAAAGGGCAGAGACAACAATTTTGAAAATGAAACTATCGTCAGCTGCGATGGAATGCAAGTTGACATTGAGGTCTCGTTTTGTTTGTGTTCTGCTCCGACGTCCGCCTGATATTGATAAGAGAACGGAAAACTAACATTCAGAGCAGCCTGCATTACAATTCTCCTCTAGACAGCGCCTGAATTCATCTTAGTTATGAAGTTATCTAGTGATGACAAAATACCACCGTCGGGACTCGAATCTTAGATTATCTCTGTCAGAGTCTGCAATGGCATCAGTTATTGCCTTTAGCTGTCACTGCTGATCGATTATGTAGTTCTTTGCGACTCGAGAGTCCGGGTGGAGACTGCAATCTCTTCGATGACGATCAATGAAAAATAGCCGGATGCCTAAACAAATAAACAGTTCAGGCTCTATCTTAAGAACGGCTCGCGAGAACAGAGTTCTTGAGCCAACACCTGTCTAGATGTGTTCTATGAGCGTGACGTGCATTTGTTTTGTAAACCGAACGCATCTCCTTTCTTTTAAAAATTTCTCTCTTTCTATTATTACCAGTGTAATACGAAACATGTATTCAAGTAAAAATAAAGAACGGTAGTATAGAGATACTACCCATTTTTTTAACTATAGAGTATTCAGTGGAAACACCGGCATACAATAATACTAGAATCTAGGATAGCTTAGTCTGAGAATTCTACGCTATAAGATTATCTTATAAACATTGGATAATTGATTAAGTATATTTTTATTATGCATTCTACGGACCTGATTTTGTAAATTGTGTCAGAGAGATGTTATTTGGGGGGGGGTTATATGTAACACAACCTAATATTTGCTCTGCAGAGATGTAGTGTTCTCTGAGTTCCTTCACGGAGATGCCGGAAGGACGAGGGCGTTCGGGTACTCACACTCCTCTGTGGTCGGGCGTCGCCTTATCTTCGATGCAGTGCGCGGCGGTGAGCACGAAGTTCTCGCTGATAAGTGATCCGCCGCACAGCCACCTCTTGCGGTCGCTCTCGCCGAAGCCCACGGCGGCCTGCGCACAACACACACTCACGCCACTCGTTCCACCCGCTTCGCAGCGTGCATCGCAAGATAGCGTTTAAAATAAGGTGTATCAGAGTATGAGGGGAGAAAGTTTAAAATAGAGGAGGTCTCTCTGTATGACGTAGTATGCCTCAGTGGTTGTTATTTCCACATCAATTGGTCGAATGCGTGTACGTGTTGATAGTGGAGTGGAGATAGGTTTAATAATGATAATGATGGTGATAATATGAAAATTTGCAATTAAGACAATTTTGCTGATGTGATGGGTAAATGACTAGTGTGTTTTGTTGTTGGTTTTTGTTGAAACTTTTTGTTAATATACTTGTTCCATTCGTGTTTATTATTTTCTTACGATCTTTGTACATCGCTTATATTACATGTGTTGAGGAGGCGAATGTATGTTGGTGCTCTAGTAATCCCCACATATTTGGCGTTGCCACAAAAAAAGATTGTGCTATAAAATATTTTTGTCGTTGTTTGTGAGCGTGGATAAAGTTGTCCAAACCGTTGTTGCTTGACACGCGAACTCACACATCTCTCTGTCTTAAACTATTTCCTTAACAGCAAAAAATAAGCATAATTAAAAACTTCAACAAGAAAAGAAATTATATAAAAGCTGTATAATAAGTATTGCAGAAGACATAGGAATAGTCGGCTTCAAATGCTACAAATGTCTAGAAATTGTTGTTGGAAGAAGTCTTTTTATTAACTCAAATTAGTAAAAACGAAATTGGGCATAGGCATGCATGAATATAGTCTTTCGCACCTACGGAAGTTTTTAGAATGTGATATTTTAAGTAAAATATCAATAATTGTACCCTATTATCATTCCTATCTATCCTCTTGCAACAATAATTCGTCGCTAATGCCTGTTTTTGGAGTTTGACGGGTTCTGAAATAAACGATTATATTGAATTTGGTGTAATAATGTATATATATATATATATATATATATATATATATATATATATATATATATATATATAAACTATTCATTTATCAATTGCTTTAATAAATAAAAATATATTAAATCTGAAAAGTTCGGACACGTTTTCTCAGTTTTTCTCAAAATTAGGAATTGGCATTGAGGGTTCTGAAATAAAACGATTCGAAGTTCTCTTATTTCTCTTGTCCTTTATTCCTAGCAGTGGGAGTGCGGTGGGGGGGTGGGGGGAGATGAGCAGCGCGCGCTCACCATGTGCGGAACTCAAGAGGGACGCCCTGTCGCCACCGACGTATGGACAGGACGGGCAGGTCGCTGTGGCACTGGGCGCGCCCCGGCGCTGGCGCCTCGCCGCTCAGCGTCGCCTCCGCCGCCTGCACCAGCCGCCCCCACGCCTCGCACTCTGCGCAGCACCCCAGCGCAAACCCGCGTTACTCGTTAAGCCGGGCTCCGAGGGGGATTTAGGGAGCACAGTCGCATCTTAGACAAGGAAAGGAGCTTTAGCTACAGTGTAAATGGATTTTTTAAAGCTTCGTTCACTTTGACCATTGTAGAATCACGACCATTGACTAATAATAAAATAAAATTGGTTCACGGGATTGATCACTGTGGGTACAGAAATAATTAGTTGTGACAACGTTTCGAAATATTTAATTTCTTCATCAAGGTTAGAGTATAAAAACAAATGAACAGAACAAGAAGACAACAAACATTTCAATAAATACATTAAATAATTAATTAACACTACACAAACAAAAGACGTTTATAAACTAAGACGAATAAAACACCATCATTTTCACTATGTCCCATCCGACGACATGGTAAACGAGATTGTTAAGTGTAAGTCGCATACCAATCATTAATTGTTAAGAATTGTAAAGTTGCATACCAATAGGGGTTACTGGTGGGCCTCAGCGTAGGGTTTGTAACCTTTTTCTTAGTTTAAGTAACGAGTTACTTCACGTTCTTTTTTCTAGGCATATTATTGAGCTAATAGCTGGTCACCAATTACCTCCGGATGGGACACATACTCTACCATACACTACACACCAATACACTTGCTGGATCCTCTGATCAGGAGTTAGCAGAACGCGAGTCCCTCCGTGACAACACAGCAAGTGATAAACAACCATACCTAAGGTGGGACTCGAACCGAGACCGTTCGGACCAAAGCTCTCAGTCGGCACAAGCTCTTAGTCACATCAGCCCTCCAGGTCGGCACTTTTTATGAAGTTTATCATTAGAACTTTTTTATCTATCTAAATAGCGGTTTTTTACAGCCTTGGCCGTTTTCCGCATCCTAATTTCCATGCCTCTTTATTCCATAGATCGTTTTCCTCCATTTCTCTTTTTCCATGGCTTCAGTTATTACCATGTTCCACGTTCTTCTCGGTCTTCCCCTGGATCTTCTTCGATTTGGTATCCACTCCCAAACTTTTTGTGGAAGTCTATCCGATTTCTACCTTCTCATATGTTCATACCGTTTTAGTTGTTTCATTTCGATTGTTTCGTTCAAGGTTGTTTGCACTTTCATTTTATTTCTTATTTCATTCTTTTTCAACCTTCAGTAATAATTTCGTCTTTCAACGCGTGACTGATGTTTAAAAAAGTCGAAACCGTCCCATGCGTAATCGTTTCTAAGAAACTCTGATGTTTTCTTCAGTTAGGCTTACGCATAAACACATTGTCATTTTATTTTGGTATCTATCGATATACATACAAGTTGTTTCATCGAAGGAACATTGAAAAGGTTGAATTAGTGTTTCAAATAGTCAATTACATCTGTGTTCCCGCGCATAAGACCACAAGTAGGCCTACAAGAAATGTTCTAAATGAAGAAGTCTTCGCTATACTTCAAAAACAAAATATTATAACTCAAACTTTCAGAAAATAATTGTTATATAAATACATAACATTTTCCTTAAGTTCTTTTGCAATATATTCTGGCATCTGGCGTTGACCGCCCCTCGCCCCCACATTGGTGTTGTGCAGGGGCTGGAATGATATTAGTATGCGATTGTTAAAGCGGCTCCGCGGTATTCGACGATTAGCGAGTGATTGCTTGCTGAAACCCGAGCGCCAAGCATTCAGCGCTCGCCCCACCCAGTCGGTCTTTTGGGTACATCAAAGGAAGCGAACGTGGCTGTATATCACTTATCAACCATCTTTCATTCATTGCCGGCCTGGGAGACGCAGGGTGACGCTTGAGGCGTTTTCCGCCTAAGTACGTCCTACATCCGCGCTCTGGGTTTGAATGCCGCGTAAGGCATTGGTTTAATGCGGTGAGTCACGTTGTGCATTCCTAACATTAGTATCACCTTAAAGTCGCAAATCCTGCCCTTAATTCCCCTTTCCCTCCGTGTTGTGTAAACGTCTATGAGACCAGTTGCGTGACGTAAGGGCCTACAGCATCCGCGCCATCTACGTGCGCTTGGTTCCTTTCTTCTAATGCAGGACTAAGATCCGTTTTAAACGCTTTCTTTTGGAGAACGATTGCGGAGTTTTATCGAAGGCGCGCATGCCTAGTGTTACTCAGTAAATCCCAGGAGCTAGACTATCCAGGATGCGTTCCCTAAATCTCCGGGATTGTTCGTCAAAAGGAAGCCTTCAGATCTTTTCTATACGCGATAGTGTCCAGATCTACTCTTGTCCCATTCTCTGTACAATTAACGGTGATGACTCACGAATCATTGGTAGGTACGACTGTAGCTGCATCTGAAGTCATGGGTTTCTACAGGTAACATATCTCTGTAGACACCGGAAGACACGTATAGATTTAAAAAAAAAAAGAAATACTTCACGCCCCGACCCGCGACGCTCCCCGCCCTTCCGTTCCTATCCCGCACAATCCCGTCTCGCACACCTCGCCCTCCCACCCGCACCCCACAAAAATTAACCACACAAAACCATAATGGAATCAAAGCTGTGTTCAAGAAGATAATGTATTGTTTAAGGAAAATTTAGAGAACAATGACGTTTCCCCTCTAATATCACTTACTAAATCGAAAATAATAATTACTATTATTTTGAGGTAATTGACTATCGATTTGAACCATTATTTTTACCGAAAACGACCAGACAACAAATACATAGATATTGTTTCCTACATTCGTCTATCAATTGTTTTACTGTTACGTAAAATATAAATATAATTTGGGTAATGTTTTTTCATTTGTTTCTCCGTCTTGTATACGTAGGGTTTACTTGGTTGATTCAAAGCTATTTGGTTTCATTACACCTGCGAATTTCTCACCTATCTCCTTGAATCTTTGTAGCTGGTCGCTCTGTTTTCCCTTTCTTTTTTCCATTATTTTTGTTATATCAATTATCAAAATGAAAATTGTCAAAACATCTAATTCTTTGACATTTAGAATGCTAATAGAATGAAATTTTCCCTTTTTTCATTCCCATTTCAATCACCGAGTTTCACTTACCGTTCTGTCATTTCAAATGACATTTTGTGTCGTTAACTCAGTCGAAAACAACAATCTAAATGTTCTAGTTCATTCGTGCTTGAAAGACACACACAAGAGATCATTAAACGGGACATTATGGGCTGAAGCGCAGAGCAGCAACAACACAAAGAGCAGGAAAAGTCCATAAGGTGAAGCCGGGCGTCCTTGGGCTCCTCAACTGCTCCTCCGTTCCGCTCCTTGCCGTCTCCGGCCGCGGCGACCTGCGCGCGCGATGGGGCGGGGAACCAGGGGCGAGGAACAGGTTTCGGCGCGAGGCGCGCAGCGCAGCGCGGAGGCCCCGACGGCGCACACAGCGGGCAAAATTTAGCATCTACAGGCGGCTCCACACGTTCGGTATTCGCCAAGCAGCGAACGAACGCTCGCGAAATCCCGAATACTGTGTCTGTGTGGCTTGGTATTTGCCGAGTGACGAACTGGTGCAGACGATGCATCCTACTCACCACGTGTCGGTGTTTTGGATTCGTCAATGCGCACCCATTGCTCGGGATTGGGCGAGCAGTAGATCGCTACTCCGCGTACGCCGAATGTGTGAGGCCCCCTTTATTTCCAAAGTAACGCATTTTCATTTATATTTGTTTTCTACATTTGCGTGTGGATATAAGACGGTTCGATATTAAGACAGG